TTTTGACAAGCAGCTAAATTTGTGCATCGATGGTGCAATACTAAGACTGAGCATTCTGCAAGTTCTATGCCATTTCTGCCACATGGACAGTATGAAAAAAAGGGGCACAAAAGCCCACTAAAGATAAAGTGATGTTGTATGTAACTTGTTCAATGTTCTCTTAACATGTTTTGTAATAAAAGAAAAAAAAGTTCTAATATCACATCAGTGTACGAGATCTGTTCTTTGGCTTTGTTTTCCTGCACTCAGGGTGGTCAGAGCATCTCACAGGGATGGGATATTGGAGTTGGTGTGCAAGTGTCTGATTCAGCAGCAGTATCCAAGAGCAGATTCCTGCTGGGCTCCTTCAAAACTGAGGCCATCAGGTGGTGGTTTTGTTTTTTTTTTTTTCCTGGGGTGGGGAGGAACAAACCTTCGAGTTACAGACCTTGCAGTTACAGACTGGTAACTGTAGGACAGCTTGGAAGAAGCACAAAGTGTAACCTGTAGCACAGCCATGTGGTAGAACCAGGTACCTCCAAACTCACCTGCTCCAGGTGTTTCTTGCACAGTAGTGACAAGCATTATAAAGCCACCTTGAAAAATTAAAAATTACACAGGAACTACCCTGGAAACAAACGTATGTGTTTAAATTCCTTGGTTCATGCTGTGGCCAAAGGCACAGACATCCAAAAAAAAATACCCCTCGGCTATTTACCCAGCTCTAGGGCTTTAATTATGAAGCTGGAGGAGCTTTTTAGATTATTCAACACAAATAGACATCTGCCAAAGAAGATCTAGAGCAGTTTAAAGCAGGAATTGAAGCAAAGCTTCCTTCCTTCAGACTTCCATGAGGGTTGTTAGTGTTTTAAAGAGGTTTAAGCTTTGGCTTAATTGTAAGTGAAAATCCTGAGCATTTGTAAACACAATCAATGGAACAGCAAAGCATGACAATATTAATGGAATCCAAGGGTATAATCCTGCACACAAAGAACTGTTCTCTCTTACAGATACTTTTTTTTTCAGCTGGTCTACAACTACAGGACAAGGTGCTTTGTCCTAGAAACAAAACCGTAAGTTTTCTTCTGCCTTTCCCTGTTAAATATCTCCAGTAAATTTGGGGAGGTGGGGGGGAAAGGACTGTAAAGCACAGGACAAGAAGAGGAAATTTAATGTATGAAATGAAAAAAAAAAAAAAAAAAAAAAAAAAAAAAAAAAAAAAAAAAAAAAAAAAAAAA